CGCGAGGTCACGGAAGACCTCGTTGAGCAAATTGCATTTGGAGACGGTGGCTTCCACGTCGAACGGCTGGAAGAGGCGCGGGTAGCGGCGAACGGCCGCTACGAAGTCCGTGTCAAGTGGCTCGGCTTGGACGCCGAAGAATCGTCATGGGAGCCGGTCGAGAACCTGCTCGAAGACATCCCTGTCGTGCTGCGCAAGTGGTGCGCTGCCCACAAGGACGAAGATCATGTCGCGGACATGATGGCCAACCTAGGTCTCCCTTAGGAGAGGGAAGTGTTCTGCGCTGCAGAGCAGTTGGGTCGCCCGATCGTTTGACCCACTGCAAACCACGGTAGCTATCTAGTACCGTGGTGCTAGTGGCACTGTGGATGACCTAGTTGTATTACTATTAGGATGCTAGTCAGTGGCCACGTAGCTCGTGGCCCCTCAGCCCTCTGAAGTCATACAGTCTTGGATTTGCCTTACGAAGGAGGCAACTTTGCGGTCGGAAGCCGTGAAGGACGAACACTCTGTCCCCCAAATATTGCAGGCGAACATTCCACAGAGGTAGTAGTAGTACTAATCCGATCCACTTAGTGTTCACTGTCAAAATTGGAAAATTTCCAGTTAAGTTGTCGCCTCTACTTTCATTGGCTAAAATTATGCATGACATGAATATTATTGGTAGAAAATCCAACAACGAGACCATGGCTAGACACACACGGCACCATCCGTGAGCATGCGCGACTCAGCTGGAACATCCCTCGTACGGCGCTTTTTGTTCTTCATGTGCTTCATCTTGTAGGTGTTGTCACCCTCGCAATCAACAATGCTGGCAAGGACACCTCGAATGCTTGAGAACACATTTTCAATCGTCATTGAAGGTACGTTCTCAAAAGCGGTCATCACGTTCTCAATCAAATCTTCAAGACAAGCAAGCATAGCGAGCTGTCTCGATTGCAAGGTGCTAAAGTTACCCAGATCAAGGACGTTCAAGTCCAGGCTGTTTGGGGGCTGACTGACTGACAAACAAGGCCTCGCGCACTTTCGACAAGCAGACGTTCAAGACTTCTTCATCATGCTCGTTGCGATCAGGTGATGCGTTATCAAACTGCATTATGAGAGTTGCCTTGTCGTGGGGAACTTTGAGTGAATCGCAGGTAAGACATCATTGTTCAAGAGGTCCTTGTAATTTTTCTTGGTGACACATACTGCTTGCTTTTAAGAGTACCCGCAGGTCGATGAGCGCTTCGGATAGAGTAATCATCGAAGAATTGAGTTTGAATCAAGTCGTCTTCTTGGGTTATCTATGATGGGCCATATTCCTATCTTACCATCAAAGTAGACATCATCATCGTAACGTGGTCTCGCAATTGCCGTCAAGACATTACTTTGGGCATAAAACGGCTGTACTTCATTGGGATTTTTAGCGCGCCTTCCCACGGAGCCAGGTATATACTACTGCATACCTTGACAATGAAAAACCACTTCTCGTCGAGAAAGACATGGTCAGTAAACTCATCGAACTTCAAAGCGTCACCACAGAACTTCGATAGGTTCAAACAGTAAGTAAGCCTCACCTGTTTCGGGTCATCACCCAGCAATGGTCTTGACTTGGTTATACCTGACAGGAACTTCCCCTCGCCGAAACCGATTATGAATCGTTGCTTTAGGGACATTGAGTGCTGTGGACGTGTTCGCCAAGCTTCGTCGTTGGCACGGTCTGAAAGCGGCAACTTTCACTTGGAATTCCTCTTCTGTTTTCGCATCACATCGCTTTCGCCGTTTCGTCACGACAGCGACTTTTCTTGTCCCTCTGGATCAAACTCGTCGAATTGTGAGCTGCGAACACAACACTCGTCAGCAAGACGTTTAAAGTCGCCACGTTTCAGCTTGTTATTGACGGCATTCTTTGACAGTTTCGCGAATATTGCGATCCTCTGCTTTTCATCCAGTTGCTTGTTCGTCATGGCAGGCTCGTCAAAGGTGAGTCCATTTAGTTAATGGTATAATTCTTTGAAGTCATAATCAGGCCAAATTCAAAACGCACTTTAGCACTTGTGTTATGGCGCCAAATTTGACGCTAATGGCAGCAAACAAATCATCTTGCGTTGTTCTATCAATTTCAACCACTCACATTGCCCAAAAAAGGTTCCCTACTTTAGGGGACCGCTCAAACGCAATGAGGACCGAGCTCAAAGTCCTAGTGGACACTTTAACTGGATCGGAGAGGTATCACACAACTATTTTGGGACAGAGGGAGGTCCACTTTGCTTCGAAAATACTTCCTCCATTCCGCAAACCTGGAGACATATAACTTCGAAACCAATATCTGTGACTTGATTATTTAGAATAGAGCGAAATTTGGCACAGAGTCAGCCAATGAAAAGACGAATATGCATCTATTTTCAGTTTTTACTGTTTCTCGACGCTTCACAACCAATGATCAAACGTTTAAGCACAGGACAGACAATCTTTAAACACCCATAACTCCAATCGAGCTCCAATCAAGCGCAAACGACTTGTCTTGTTGCGTAAATATAGCCAACATTCTTCAGAACATCTGGAAGCAGAGCTACGGACAAGCGACCATGCCGCGCACCACGACCAAGCACGAACTACCCGACGACGAACGACTCAGTCTGTGCCATGAACTGCTGGAGAGCAAGCAGAACGGCCGTCTGGCCAGAAGAAAGACCAAGGAGATCCTTCTCAGGTTTGTCATATCGATGAAACGTTGTCCAACGTGTGGAGGTGCGATCAGCTGACGAAAGCACATTCAGACTTGCTGATGTCACATTGAAAAGACGAGGTCGAACTGGGCGTCGGCCGTCACGTCCTATCGAGGACATTGAGTCCGCCGTAAAGAGTATCCTACCGCATCTTCGCAGGACGTTAGCGTTGTTGGCTGCTTTAGAGTGTGATCCTGACGTAGTCACTGTCATCGAAGCAATGAATGCTCGGAAAGGACTTCGAACGTAGAGTAGACAACTTTTCCAGTGTGTTGGCATCATGTGACATTGAGAGTGCGATCAATACGTCAAATATTGATCACCTCTGCACCATTGTCCATGATGTGAAGATATGATTTGTAGCCTGTCATGTTGGTTATCGTCGTAAAATTAATATTTGTGAATAAAGTTACACATTTTCGACTCGGAGAGCATACAGAAGATAATATTAGAGTTGGGAAAAACGATTGTCTCCAGATATGTGGAATGGAGGAAGTACTAGTATATCAACTTGGTCGGTTTCCAGATCTGTCTTGACCGTTTGATTGGCTGGATCCCTGAGGGAGGCAATCTGATTGGATACAACTTTTGGTGGCCGCTGATTGGCCAGAACATGAATCTCACCATCCTCGCAACGAGTATATATCACCCACTTCATTCCTGTACCGTCCATTGTACGTATTGTTCAGTGTACTGGGAATAATACTACGTAGTATGTAGAACAATGTACGATATTTTCATCTCAGGGAAGATTCAATGTACGGTTTATGCCCGAGGTGTCACATGACACGTCCGTTCACATACTTTACGGCGTGGGTGACGCCGGTGGTTGACAGGAGGAGGCACGGGACCGCATCGATCCTGCCAGGAATACCCGCGCTGCTTAGGAATGGGACCGACTTGACAGGGTGTGTATTAGTTTGCGAAGTGAACTCATTGTCGACGGCCGTGGACAATAAGTACCCCAATGTTGAACACAAACATCCCGTCAAAATGCGATAAGCAGACCTGTCACACATGAACAAATTCCAAACTTGGAACTCCGGCTGCACGTGCCCGGCACCTCTCTTTCGGAAGAAGTACCTCCGGTAGACTTCGCCAAGCACGCCTTCGAGTACTGATCATTCGTACGCAGGTCGAACTGCTGGAATGGCTCCACGGTTCAATTGACACAGCGTTTCGCCGCGGGAAACTCATCCATGTCCATGCAGGGTCTTCGGTGTTTTCCCCATTGCTGCCCAACACACGTCGAAGGGACGTACTGTGCATCGTCCCTTTCTATCGCTCTGACCGCGTCACCGGCCCTCCTTGCTCGCTACATGGTCTACTTTCGACTGGAAGCGACATACGACGAAGTACTCGCATGTGATCACACCATTGGCAAGTCCTCGATCGCATCCGACGAGCGACACTCGTACAATCTACAAAGAAATGGGATCGTAGCTCCGTGTGTGCGTGTTAATGTAGGTGTTGCGCCATGGAGTGTTTCTTCTTTGCAGCGCGACGTGGCCACCTTCAAGTACGATGGCAATAAGCGATGGTATTTTCGAGTAGAAGGGTGGCTCCTCGATTAACCAGCGCTTGTTTTGGCACCGCCTCAAGGTTTGCTGGTGTCTTTTTTGTCGATTTCAACACGTGTAACCCACATCCAGGCATACGCAGCCCAACGGAGCCGTCGACCACGTTGGACGTGATCGCCATGGCGTCGTCGCCGCCTGATTTCGACAAATCTTGTCGTCGATCTTGCAAACCATGCCAAGCCAGCGATTCCTCCAACACTCGTGACGAATGCTAGTGTGCTGGTGTATTTCGGCGGAATGACCGCTATTTAACAAGGCGTGTAGACTCAACGCTGACATCATGCGTCATGTGCTACCTGCCCTTTCGTCAGCGACAAAATCACATCATCTACGTCCAGGCTATATTGACCACGAGCGCGTGGTTGCAGTGGTCTTGAAGGCCCTCTGTTGCGCAAGGCACAGTCCGTCGCAGACGTCGATCCCGCTGTACATCCCTCGTAGCACAGTTGGCGACCTCGGCACATCCGGTGCTGGCACAAAATTCTACCAGACGACGATGGGGTTGGCGCCACCAGCGGTTGTCAACATGTGTGTCGTGATCGTCCTGGCTTTGGTGAAAGACAGGTCAATCGTCTAGCGTTTCATGCAATAGCGTGCGGGGGATCTTTTGAACCAGTCGCACGTCTGGCTCAGCTACCAAGCGTGCAGATGAAGTCGAATTTTCGCCCGATCGTGATAACCAAGTGTGTAGCATTCCCTGCCTTTCTTGACGCGCTGGGTGACTTGTGCGATGAAAACGCACTCGAGTCCTCGTCGTCGCCCGCGAATCTCTTTGACGTGGCGCAGCCGCGAGAAGTTTACACGGTAGTGACGCTCCAGCTTGTCCAGACGCTCAACCAAGCAGGCGATTAGGTCGCGATCGCCCCGAAAACTCTGCGACGTCAAGTTTGAGTGGAACCTGGACGTTCAAATCGACTCGATCTGCCCGCCGTGTTCATCGAGTGACCTGTCGGTGCTTCGGCAGCCTACTGTGGACTACCCCATGCACGACGTCATGGCCGACCACTGCTTCTACGTAAGTCCATTCGCCGGTCGTTTGTAATATCCGACCTGGCATGGTTCCCGACTCAATGGTCCGAGTTTGTTTCAGACAATCGGCCACACATTTTTTGTGCGTTTCCACATGGTGAAACATTCATGTGAATTGCGGACGGCCTTTTTCACGGTGATTATGTCGTTCAACGCGTCGTCGGGAGCTGTGTGTTGGGATCTGCATGGTTGACCTTCTACCGAGACCGCAGAGTCGACGTGTTTTGTAGTCCGCATTCCATTGACATGACCAAGTGCCAACGCGTTGTCAACGTGATCGCGACCAAGGTCCTTAACCGAGCTGATGACAACAGCGTGGACGGGCTGAGGCCACACGAACGAGGTTATCTGCAACGCCGATGTCTCGATCGTCCACGTATCTGCCGCATTCACCAGCGGCGAATAGAGAAATGCCAACGCACTTGGACCTTCAAGATGTGATTCACTGCATAACTTCATCCAAGTCGAGTCGGTCATCCCATCGTGCTCGCACCACTGTGAGTGTTTTTCATGAGGTACTACGAATTCTGACAAAGTATGGATGAGATTTCGTTTACGCGACGCGGCACTCGCTCGAAGTACTACATCAGCCACAGCTTTGGACTAAACGACAGCGAATGAGCTCAATGAATTGTGTGGATGGTCAGGGACAGTTTGCGCAGCGTGAGCTCCCCAGTGAGCTTCCGCACAAACTGACCACATGAAATTGCTGCCAAGGTATGCTACAGCAGGATTTTCCTGTTTCGAATCGTCGGCTTCAATCCACGACTTTGTAAGTTTACGCTGGTGGAATGTAAGATCACATTGTATCAGTAGGGCAGCAGCGTTCCCTCACGCATACATCAGTGTTATTGCTGACAATGGCTTGGCATGTTCAACCACGCCATGATTCTTGTGTCCACTCGGCGGTAAATGCTTGTCTCCGTAGTTGTAAACGAAATGAACTACTTTGTCACTTCACCTACATAGACGATTTCACACCCGCACGGCAACGGCAATGATGCCTTGATGCTTGCCCAAGTCATCGGCAGACAGACCCTTTCCAGCCTCAGACTCGCCCGTATTTCTCTTTCAACGACATGCTGACTTTTGCTTGATGGAGCTAGCAGCTTCGTGTTCCAGCCTCCATCCCGCAGACGATTTGTCAATTTGTCAGCGTGACAGAATCTCGTACAATGCACATTTCATGTACGCATACGTACATTCCTAAACTATTGTCACTGTCAAGCTCAGACGTTGTACGTTGAATGTACGCTTGGTCGTCCACCGAAGTCATGCTGACACATAGTTTCGTCAGCGAAACAACACGAGGGGATTCGACCGACTTGGCGCTGTCAAACATTTCTTGCAGGTTTCTGTCGCGCCGAGCGGTGACAACAGCACCCTCGACGAAGCTGTGTTCATTTCAATCGGTTTTTATTCATCCATGCTCCATATAAATCGTTCTTCTCGACACAGTCACAATCCATGTAGACGTCGCACCCGTGTATTGGTGCCGATATGGTCTGACCACGTATTAGGTCATGCCAGCATGTTTACCACGACATGGCAAGCGCCTCCACGGACAGGTGCAGTTCAAGGCAGGTCGCATGGGTGACACCGCCGACGATGCCGAGTTGTTGTTATCCGCCAAAAACTCCACGTTTTGCAATACTTGCCCAGAAGAACGAGATGAATTACCACTACAATATTCGAAACCATGGGACAAGTGGTGGTGCGTCGCCGATTACCGCCGCCCAGTGTGCCACTTGTACAAGACGACAGTAAATGCGACTTCGAGAACGACAGCGTACATCACGAGCACCAACATGTTCTTGCCCACGTCGACGTCGACCAAGCCGAATCGTTCGAGGATGGCATTGCCGCGGGTTGTGTTCATCTCGGTAAACTGGTTGTGCACAAACGCTTCAAACGAGTAGGAGTGAAACGCAATGGTGTTGACCCACTTCCAATAGGACGGGATTGCTTTGGCAGGGACCATGAACCCTTCCATCTGCATGAACATGCCGAAAATGCCCGCGGCGTTGGCGATCCCCATGATGTAGTGCGGCGCGGTCGCCCCCAGCACGTGCATGAGCGACTCGGCCACGACGAGGCTCAAAAACAAGTTGAGGACGAACGACCAGAACGCATGGAGCCCCGCGAGCGACACCACAATCGACGACGACACCAACGCGATGACGAAAATGCCAGGCAACGACGCAACAAAGTTGGCCATGACGTAGCTGACCACGTTGAGAGCGTTGTTCGCCCGCTCCCGTGCAAACACGGCGCGCTGCTCGATGAAGAACGGAAGGACCGCGACGCTCATGAACACAAGGAACGCCTGGACGTAGAAGAGCATATTCACCAGATCGTCCTCGACCAGGCTCTTGTTCGTGTACAAGTACATCGTCCCGACCATTACGCTGAGGAACGCATACATGACAAGCCGAACGCCGTACACACCGGGGTTGCGCACGTTGTTGAGCGAGTTGCGATGCATGATGACTGCGAGTTGCCGGAATGCCGACGGCCGCAGGTTTTTTGCGTAGTTGACGACGTCGGTCGTTGAGTCAAGCGAACGGCGATCGTACGCCAGTTGCTCCTGCAATGGCGACATGAGTGAGCTGAGTGGCGTCGAGACAAACCTGGATGTGGCCCGCCATGGCGCTTTGGCTGTAATGCGCAATGAATGCACAGGTGTCGCGCGCCGCCCCGTCAAAATCGGCGTTGATGAGCTCGAGGTAATGCTCGCTCGGGTTGGTAAACGGCGGGACGGGGTGGCCAAGCGATGCAAAATGATCCAGCGCGTGGGTCGGGCTGCCGCTGTACACAGTTTGACCGTTTGCAAGGAGCACGATGTTCGTAAACAGGTCAAAGATGGCCGAGCTCGGCTGGTGAATGGTACACACGACTGTGCAGTGCTGGTTCTGGCTGAGCTTCAACACGTGAGACATCACGTTGAGAGTCGATGCCGAGTCCAAGCCAGACGTGGGCTCATCCAACAACAGGATCGTCGGGTGTTTCTAACGATTCATTCATGCTCTCGTGTGACGAGCCGTCCAGGGATAAACGTGTCGCACCAATAATTCAATCGCGATACTGAGGCGGCGCTTTTGACCCCCGGACAGACCTTTGCGAAACATATCGCCGACAATCGTGTCAGCACATGACCGGAGACCTACAAGGCACACAACATCATGAGGGTGTCCAAAGAAATCTTTGCCGCGTGAGTCTACCCATGTCGTCGATGGCGGCCTGGACGCGCCGTTCGCGCTCGTCCGCCGTCACGTTGGCGGCCACACTGAGCTGGGCCGAGTACCGAAGGGTTTCCAGGACCGAAAACGACCCGAGCAACGCGTCGTCTTGCGAGACATATGAAGCCATCAAACGAAAGCTCTCGCTCTTCCGGGTCTTTCCGTTCACGTCGACCGTTCCAGCGATCGTACCGGTCGACATGCGATCCGCCAGGATATCCAAGAGCGTGGTCTTGCCACTGCCGGACGGGCCCATGATGGCCGTGACCTCGCCTGGCGCGGACCGCCCCGACACGTTTTGCAGGATCTGCTTGGCTGGGCCTTTTGCCTTGCCACGCACGGAGTAGCTGATGCGGTCCCAGCCCAGCACACAGGGGCACTTGGCACGGTCGTGAGATGGCTTCGTGTCGTCGCCTTGGATGTTGATGTAGTTCGTGTCGGCCATGGAAAGTTTGAAAATAACGTGCCACGTGGTGCCTCATCCATATTCCGATTACGACAACGATCTTGAAGCGGCGTCCAGATGGCGATTGCGAGATGTGGAGGTTTATCCCACCGTTCGTGTTTGTTTATCCCAATGCACAATCCTCGATTATTGCCAACGCTGCAGCCGCGACCAATCTACGATGGCTGTGTTCGTTGCCATGAAACGCGATGGTTTGGTGCACCAACCCATGCAAGCTACGAAGTGTTATGCCGTCGACACGATTACAGCCACAACACGCGTCGCAATCGATGTGGCATCGTGTTGTAGGGGGGAGTGTCGTTTGGCGTTGATGGAATGCGAGGGATATGGAGATTCCTGGGGGAATTGTAGCATTCTCGGGGCTTTCAGGGCGATCGGCGGAGGGCTTTCTCCTACATGGATTAGTACTGGGTTGCACATCCTGGCGTTGCGTCCCATGTCGTGATCACGGCGGGCTTTCGATTCGTACAGCGGTCCACTGTTCCAAGGACTCATCACGGCAATGTGAGCGTAATGTGAGAGTGGCCAGTCCAATATCTTGCGATTTGTAAGGCACGTGGACCATCCATCGTCACTCTCTAATCCCTCTAGTGAGCGCAACGTGAGAGTCACTTCATATATGTTACAATTTGTATGTAGTGCGGAGGACGTCACCCACGTGAGAGTGGTCACTACGCATCTAACGGGTGTACCAGATGGTAATCAAATTTCCATAGTGACATCGGATGGAAAAATTGCTTGCGCCGGTTCAGTCACTTTTGAACTCGATCGAATTGCACGAGATGGAATCGCCGCACTTTAGCCCATGCGCCACACCTGACACGTACATTCGAAAGAACGAATGCACTCTTGGCTGGGATAGCCTCAGCTACACTGTCACCCGCCGTGGGCAAGACCCCAAGGTCATCCTCAGCAAAGTGAGTGGTCGCGCCGCGCCAGGTGAACTAGTTGCCATCATGGGACCATCCGGCAGCGGCAAGACGACGCTGCTCGACATCCTTGCCGACCGTATCTCGACCGGCCAAGTCACGGGCCAAATCCACCTCAATGGCCGCCCGCGACTTGCCAAAACATTCCGCCTCTTGTCTTCGTACGTGTCTCAAGAAGATGCGCTGACCGGATCGTTCACGGTGCTCGAGACTCTTCGATTTGCGGCTCGGCTGAGTGTGCCAGCCAATGTTCTCACCGACGAGCGGGAAAGCCGAGTGCAAGCTGCCATCGACGACATGGGTAGGCCAATCCACGATCGTATCCAACCGTCACAATGTCTTGGCAGGGCTACGATCTTGCGAGCACACAGTCGTCGGTGACATTTTCCGCAAAGGTCTCTCGGGTGGCCAGAAGCGCCGGTTGAGTATCGCCATCGAGCTACTGGTAAAGTCCTCCCCAACCTCTCGTCGAACACCGTTCATGTTGGATGTCGACATTGTAGAGTTAGCCATCGATTTTGTTGCTGGACGAGCCGACGTCCGGCCTTGATGCTGCGTCTACGTACAACGTGATGGCATACATTCAAAAGCTGTGCCTCGCTCACAATCACACGGTCATCTGCACGATCCACCAGCCCAGCACCAAAGTGTACAACATGTTCGCCAAGGTCATGTTGTTGGCAGGCGGGGATTCAATTTACTTTGGGACGACAACCGACATGCTGCCGCATTTTGCTGCAATTGGGTGCGACAACAGCTTTCCCTGACCATTCGTTTCCCTCATAAACACTCGTCTATCGTAGCCATCCGTGCCCGACCTATTCGAACCCCGCCGAGTACTACCTAGCTCTTGTCAACACGGACTTTCCAGGTCATGGAGACATTCACGCCTTGGCTGCAGGCTACGCCACCAGCGCTCTTGCCGCGCAGACTAAGGTATATTTCAGCTGCAACAACCTGCATGACCACTGACTGTGGCTGTTCATATGGCTGGGTAGACTCAACTGATGGCCGACCGCTCGCGAGCCGACTTTCCGTCTCTGTCCAAGGCCGATCTGCGTGAGATCAAGCCATCTGTCGGCCGCCAATTCGTCATGCTCCTGCAGCGCACTGCGTTGGAAAACGTCCGGAATCCCGGCATATTCTGGATCCGCTTCGTCATGTTCCTCGTCCTGTCGGCCATGACTGGCACTTTGTACCTCAACGACGACAAGAAGCTCACGGACATGGATTACGTGGCACTTCTTTTTGGCGCCCCTGCTTTCACGACATTTCTGAGTGTGGCAGCGCTGCCGTTTTTCTTGGAGCAGCGGGCCGTGTTTGCCCGCGAGCGCGCCAACAGCGGCTTAAACGTCGGCGCATTCACGATCGCTACGTTCGTTGCAGCGCTCCCGGGGCTCGCTCTGCTCGCAATCACTGCGACTCTTATGGTGGTGCCCATGACCGGTCTGCACGGCTTTGGCACGTTCTTTTGGATCATGTTCCTCAGCTTGACTGTCGCCGAATCGTTGATGAGTGTGCTGGGCGTGCTCGTGTCGAACGCCATCATGGGCATCGCACTTGGTGCAGCCGCGCTTGGAATGTTCATGTTGACTGAAGGGTTCATGGTGCCTCGGCCATCGATCCAACATTACTGGTTGTGGGGCCACTACCTTGGCTTTCACACGTACAGCTTTGAAGCGCTCGTGGCCAACCAATTCCAAGGCGTCAACACGGTCGGTGCCAAAGCTGTCTTGGCCCGCTTTGACGTCGCCGATGTCCACGTGAGCTCGCATGCGTCGATTCTCATCGGATACGCCCTCATCCTGCAAGTCATCGTGGGCAGTCTCTTGTACAAATTGCACACTGGCCGCCGGTAGAAATCACGAGATATCCATCCACGTGGTCATTCGGTTGCGGACAACATTTCAAAATTCTTGGTTATATTCGTTTTACTGCGCCGTTTGCTTTGGCAAGGCACTGGCGAGATGGCGAGCACTGAATCATTTGGCGACGGCCATCTGCGCCATCCCAATTCGCTTTCAGAGCATTCGCATTTCAATCAGTGCACAGGAGGAGATGGAGCGATCAGGGACCTACGTAGGTTGTGGTGGGTGGCGCTCGCGTGAGTTTTTTGAAGATGTGTCTGCCCTCCGCAGGGCATTTGGTGACCCAGTCCTGCCACAGACCAACGCCCGTTCTGGGCGCGATCATCATGGCTCGGAACGCAAGCTCTCCGTGTCTTGCCCGGACGTCGCTGTCGATGGCGGATTTTTCCATAGCGTCGCAAGATTCGTTGGCCGTGCAACGCATGGCAATGTCGTGCAGGAGTTGAATGGCTGGTACAGCATACTGAAGAGCCAACGCATCGACTTCATTGTTGTTCTGATCCAAAGCGTGTGATCGAACGAGCTTGACGACGTTCGACTCGATCGGTCGCTGGAGAAGCCGTTCAATTGCCGCGTGGGCAGCATCATGCGCTTCCTGCCGTTGCTGGTCGCGTTTTCGAGTGGAGGCATTCCTGCCGTGCTTGCGATGCAGCAGTAGCGGCGTGCCAAGACTCATCATTTTGACCACGGGGTTGGCGGGTGGATCGCTCGGAGGTACGGCCAGGCGAAGCCACAGATCGTAATCTTCGCCCGATCCAAGCGATTCCGCGTATCGAAACCGATCGACCACACATCGGCGGAAAAACACAGTCGGGTGGGCCAACATGCACCCCATAAACAGACTCCACCGCGTTCGGGCGACCGTCGTGGGATATACCACAACTTTGAGCGGGTCGCTCGGGGAGGCGTCCGCCGTGCTGCCGTTCTCGTAAGCAAGTGTGTAGTCGGGACCAATTAGGGCAATCGCTGACCCGACAATGTCAACGTCGGGGTGCGTTTGAAGGAATGCAAGTTGCATGTTCAGTCGGTCAGGAAGCGCAATGTCGTCGCCGTCCATGCGAGCGATGAAGTCGCCGGTAGCCAACTCGATCCCTAGTTCATCCGTCACATTGATGTTTAGAGTTGACATCCTTGCGTTTGAACTGTTGGTTTCTGCCATGGTTTGTGCGGGGCGTACCTCGATTCAGGGTTTTTGCGACCCCCATGTTCATCGGATTCTTGACAAGGCGAAATCGACGATCGAGCTTGACAAATGCTTCTACAATAGCAACAGTCGAGTCGGTGCTGCAGTCGTCCAGCACCAGAACTTCGAAGCGCGAGTATGTCTGTCGTGCGAGGCTGTCCAGTGCTTGATGGATGAAACGAGATTCGTTGTACGCTGGTAGGACGATCGAAATGAGCGGAAGAGCGTTCTTGGATTCATATGGGGCACCATGGCTCGGCTCCTACAACTCCCATCGGATTATTTTACGTGACCATGGTCTGTCCGCGCATGTCGTCCCGAAAAAGGACTGGGACTTGTTCCACATCCACAGCGCATATGTGTACATGTCATGCAGCATCAGACGGCGATGGGACACTGTACCTGGTTCTCCACAAAGAGAGTGCCGACGTGGACGCTTCGAAACACTTGAGTCTTGTACCGCGCCGTATCGAGGCGTCGCGGCGGTGCCGTCAAAAAAGACAAAAGAAACTCCGTCTCGACGACTTCCTCGCCCAAGAGCGGGTTGTCGTACACCGTTTGCACTTGATTGATGGCCAAGACGTGCATAATAGGCTTCGACACGCATGCTTCGTTCCAATCAAATTCCGAATGAACACGATGTCCATTGGCTTCAAGTCGATTCGGCTGGCTCAGACCGTGAGTCCCGTGGATGCGCTCGATAGTGGTGAGAACGGCTTGGACACTGATCCAGCACAAATATCTAAATTAATTGTGTTGTGCACAAGAGAGCATACCGATCACGACGATAGATCGAGCCGCTGACTTCCCACGGGTAATTCCATTCGCCGCGTCCTGGCTCAAACGTCAGGATCTCCGTGCCGTGCCATCGCATGGCCGGAAGCGGCAGCAATGGCATTTGTTGCGTTTCCGAGTACCAAATGTTGGGATTGAGGGTAAGATGCAGGACATTCCAGGCATGCCGAGTCGGGCGAGTTAGAATGTCCATGACCGGGAAGAAGTCAAAGAAAAAGGCGTCGTCGACGCCAAACAAGACATACTCGCTTGTGGACGCATCAAGGACGGACAGAAGACCTTGCTTGAACGCATCCGAGTGCAAGGACGCGTCTTCCTCAGTCCAATGTACCATCGGAAACAAGGACATCACGTGGGCGTATCCTGCTCGAAATGCGGCATTCGAAGCTTTAAACAACACCCACACGAGAGACAACTCCACACCGAGGAACTTGTGCATTGTTCTCAAGTACTCGGACACTTGCCACGGACGGTCCATCGAGAAGCATATGACTTGCAAGCATGTCGTTGGAATGTCCGCCATCACGTCCCGATCGCTCGATGTTCTAACCAATGTCATCCGGATAAGATGCCGACGACGTCTATTATCCGGATGATATGTTCAAAGTCGTCATTTTCACATTGCCACGAGATGCGAAGCGGTTGGCGACGGGTGCTGACGGCCATTCCACTGCTTGCCGCGACTTCGCCATGGAACACAGCATGGAGTGAAGCGCATACTCCAAAGCCGCGACAACGAACAAAGTCTATCTCAGACAAGTACGAGGTTGGCAAGGTCATCGGGTCCGGAGGGTTTGCCGTCGTCAAGTTAGCTAAAGACAGAACCACGGGCGTGGAAGTCGCAGCAAAGTTTTTCGACATGAAGACTGCGTCGACAGCAGAGATTGAAGCTGAGGTAGGGAGATGAACATTTTCATACGAAATGACACAGTGGACCCATCGACCTAGATCGACATGTTGAGGTGGATCGGTACACATGCCAACATCGTGTCCCTGCGAGACGTTGTTTACGAACCCACAGATATTATCATGATCATGGATCTCGTCCGTGGTGGCGAACTCTTCGACTACATCGTGAGCCAGGTACACCATGTATCACATAGTTCGATGCCACCTTCGCTCAACTGCATCAAGGGCTCTATCACCGAAGCCGACGCAAGCCGCATGCTTCGCGAAGTCTGCCTCGCCCTCCAGCATCTGCATCAACGTGGTGTATGGTACATAATTCGCAGATTCCGACGACCCATCTCAACGTCCTCCTTTCAGCCACCGTGACCTCAAACCTGAGAACCTTCTCTTGACCGAAGTCTCGCCAGACGCAGATATCAAGATCGCAGTGCGTAAATGTGAAGTTTTCTTTTCCCAAGTCTCTGATCGCGGAGTAGGATTTTGGCCAAAGTTTGCGCCTTCCCGCTGGATCGAAGTTGACAGAGTCGCCTGCCGGGGGCACCATGTACGAAGCAACCAACGAGAGCTGCTAACAGTGCATGGCGTTGTTGCAGTGTGTATTGGGCCCCGGAAATTATCAAGCGGGCGCCACAAGACTGCGCCGTCGACATGTGGGCGTTTGGGGTGCTGGTGCGATTATATTCTTCTCCTCCCTGTGCTTACCACGCTGACCGTCATCGACGAAGCTGTACATTACCCTCACTGGTATCCACCCGTTCGACCCGAAAGGCAATTTTTCCGACGCCCAAATCATTAGCCTGGCGGTGCGTGGGGCATATGACAGTACGAACGTTCAGTTCGTCGACCTCAATTGCACAGGAAACGCTGCATGTAGTGTCCAACTCGTGGTATAATAGCCTGAGCGATGAGGCGAAAGACCTGCTGTCGCATTTGCTGACGGTGGATCCGGAGAAGCGATTTACGGCTGCGGACGCGCTCTCGCACCCGTGGATGAACCCTCGCTTTCGGCGGCGGTTGAGTCGTCGGTACCGCGATGGTCTGTCCGGGCGGCTGCAAGCGTACCGTCGTCTGCAGCAACTGCGGGCCAACATTGTGACGGTCTTGCTGTCCCAAAAACTGCACAAATCACCGTCTGGCAAGCACGTGGTCGCGCCTCACACAACGGACCTCGAGACACTCAACCAAGACGTATACAAGGAAGTTTTCGCGTTGTTTGACGAAGACCAGAGCGGCGCAATATCCAAGCACGAGCTCGCGAACGTGTTGAGAGCGTTGGGGCAGCAATACACCCCGTACGAAGCCTTGCATTTATGTGTGAATTGAAATGCGCTGGCTGCGTGCATTCGAGGAGTCCGTGTAATGTGCCTCGGTGCTTTATGCTGACGAATCGAACGAACGCTCCTCGTAGGGCTGAGATAGACGACATCATGAAAGCTGCCGACGTGGACGGTGATGGAGGGATTTCTCTGACAGAGTTTACGACCCTGGTCAATTCCAGTTTGATCCAAGTTGAGCAGTGGAACGACGCCGATCTGCACGCGGCGTTCGAGGTACTTAAATGCTGAACCATTTAACAGCGTCAACAGCACGTGTGACTGCAAGCGAACGTGTGGCTGAGGGTGTTGCTGTGGAGAACGGGTGGCTGACGTTGGTTGTGGACAGATATTTGATGTAAACCACGATGGATTTATCTCCGCGGACGAACTCGCGTACGTGATGAACGTGTTGGACAAGACTCCGATCTCGCCCGCGGAACTCCACGACTTGATTCAGTCGATCGACGAAAACGGCGACGGCAAAATCGACTACAAGGAATTCTCAACCCTTATGCAAGCGTGGCTCGTCGAAGGCCGGGGACAGACCAAAGGCAAATAGCCTAGGATGGCAGTAAAGGATGGAAATATTCCTTGAGTGCAAATTCAAGCCTTGGAAGATTGTGCGGTTGGTCCACGTGAATGGCTCAAAAAATTCAAAGCAGTGCCGCAGGGCTTCACTGTCACCAAAAAAGCAAGGACGAAGCGGCCTGCACATCACATTCGTCATTGAAAGAAGCATTTCACACTCTGACTTACACGGATGCAGACTCGAGTAATATCTACTTCATCTCGATGGGCTAGCTAGCAGCAGCCACACATTTCACCGAGCGGTCCACTGCCGTCTGGCTTAACGCGGACGACAAATCGGAGGGCGTGCTCCGTCTGGACGGCGTGGAGGAGTGGATGTCCCGGATAAAACACTTCCTTGCTCTCGGCGCGCGGCATGCGGTGGTCGGGGACAGCCACATGAACCTGAAAGGCCGGGTGGATTGAGTGGAATGAGACTTGGTACACCTGGGACGACGTCTTTCCCCCAGTGAGCTGAAACACAAGGCGGTGGCCTGCCACTTCGTCGTTTGTCTTGTCCGGGATTAGAAACACACGAAATCGCAATATGTCCGTGGTGTCTTCGTCAAATTCGTCGTCGGCGACCACGTCGTACTCGACTTTGACCAGAGCCGAACTCGTTTGAATCGGCTCCGGTGCGCCAAAAAACGTCGAGACCGTCTCTGGGCGCCACGTAAAATCCAGGGCGTACGACCGACATGACGGTTCGGACAACCGAGCAAGCTCGAGCCAAGCGACGGCCGCGGCATCAACATGCGCCGGAGAAGCGAAGTGGAGCCCCGAATAGCTCACGAACTCGACGTTGGACGCCTTGTACGCGCGCATGTACGTAGGGACGTTGGGGAGGGATACCGCTGGATGCAAGTACGGACCTAAGCGGTGGTCATGGCTTAGTTGACGGTCCTGTGCATGGGTCGAAGCGCCATGTAAGTTGGAAAGCGTCGAGTGAAGGCGGCGACACGTCCTTGCGACGCGAATAACGTCCTGGGTCCTTACGAACGCCATAATGCGATGGATCAAAGCGGGTTGGAGCTCACTGAGACGGTCTGTCGCACTGCTCCATGAGGGCAAGCTACTTCTTTTCGGCCGCAACAAGACAGCAAAGTCACGGCGTATCTGAACTTCGTCCAAGTTGCGCCCGATGAAGACAATTTTACAACCTTCGACCCCTGCCACGTCGAGCCACTCGCGGTCGACAACATCCCCGACAGCATGGAACACGAGTTTCTTGGTCATCCCCTCAACGGATAGAATGGCCTTGGACCGGTACAGCACGACCTTCTTGGCGATCGACTCTTTGGACGGGACGACCAGACGCCGCATCCAGTGCGCGAACAAAAACGGATCCACAACGTGATGCGGTTCCAAAATTGCAAACGATTTCGTCTGTGTGTGTCGAGACGAGTGGGCTTCGTCGACCAAGTGGGTGCAACCATCTTGGCACGTGGCATGGTCGTGGTCATGGCTGTGATCGTTGCCGTCCTCGTTGTCGAACGTGTCGGCGATCTTGTTCAGATCAAACCCGGAAAGCCGATCAAATAGCGCAGCAAAGTCCATGTCGCCGCGAACGCAAGGCAAGATCGCGGCAGTTGGATTTAGATCTCGAATGTGCGCCGCGATGGTTCGGTGAACGGACGGCTGCGGCACCAAATCCACTTTTGACAAGATGACGAGATCCGCAAGGGAAATTTGGGACTGCGCCTCAGCGCTGTCACTTCGCAAGAGGCTCAAGATGTTGCATGCATCTACGAGAGTCACAACGCCTTTCATGTGGAACGACGACGTGATGCTTGGGGTTTGCGTGATGGTGCGGACGATGGGTAGTGGGTCGGCCATACCCGTCGTTTCAATCAGCACCATGTCGAGCGGATGGCCGGAAGCGACTTGTTCAGCGATGGAAGCAAAAGCACCCAAAATGTCACCTCGCACAGTACAGCACATGCAGCCGTTCTCCAGCACAATCACTTTGTCCGCCACGCTCAGGGCGTTCGACGTGAGGAGGTCGTTGTCAATGGCGACTTCGCCAAACTCGTTCTCAATCACGGCGATTTTGAGTTGGCGCTGCTGCAGCAAGAGTTTGTTTAAGAGCGACGTTTTCCCTGCGCCAAGGAATCCAGTCAGAATCATGACTGGGATCGCTGTCGTCGCCATGATGTCGCCAATACCAAAATGACAATGTTGTGAGAAAAATTAACCGAACCGGATACGCTGAGTTCATCCAAAACATTGCCAGCGTTTCATACGGACGGATACACGATTAACATGAAATATTTTTTGCAAATGCTTGGTATATGTTCTCATATTTAATATACATGAATCAAATATTATTAAACATGGACAATCTCAATGTCAAAACAATCTATCTGAACTGTTTAGATGATGTTTAAAATCGTATTCTTAACTTTTGCGGTTTTTTCTCTGAAATTTGAAACTGCTGATAGCTTGGGTTTTTGTTTTTCTGTCTTTCACCAAAATCAAACTACCCAGAAATTTGTATTTGTGTCTTTTTGTCTCTGACCTTTTCAAAGTCCCAATTTTCTAGTATTTTTGTCTTTTTGTCTCTAGCATCATAAATACAAAAAGACAGCGGGTATGGGACTTTTGAAATATTTATGTCATTCTTGTTTCTCCTCTAACTTCGTTATTCTTTCTCTAAGTTCCTTACGTAACTTTTCACTTTTCTTTAAACCACCTCTACTTATAAGTTCTTTAAATATCCCGTTTCACTTCGTGAGCGAAGCGAGCACCTAATTAGACGAGCGAAGCGGTTACTGTCTCTCCTCTATTGTTTTTTTCATGCAACGCAAGAACAGCAGATCGAAGTCTCGGACGACGTGGACGACCTCGGGTCGTTGGCATGCCGGGTGAACGCACTCACGGATGCCCAGGACCAGGTCGCAAGCTGAAATGGAGAACACGTTGCTCTTGGCGTCGTATCGACGAGTGTTTGCTAAGTTCTTGACGTTCTTTGGGTCGACAGACAACGGTACAACTAGCACTTTTGGCCAATCACTGACCTTTCATCAGGATATTAGTTTGACCCATTCGCTTTTTCAAGATTCCGACACAGAAATGGACGTGACGAAGATTGGCTCAGCGTCCCCCCAACGCACGGGCTCATATGCAGCAGCAACAAAGTCAAAGAAGTCGATTCTAAGAGAGGACGTAGCAACAGCAGCACGAAAGAAGCGGATTCCAAGCGACGTCAAATTGAAGAAAAGCCATCTTTGCCAGGGAACCAAATGATAGTAGTTCCAGCACCAACTGTGGACATTCCAGAGCCGAATCGACGTGAGTCGATGGCAATCAATTCTATCAATCAGACAATCAAAACCCTCGACTTGAAGCTCGTTGACAAAAAGCTCCAAAAGGGAAAGTTCTACTTGCGAGATGCTTCCCTGAGTGATTGGGAAGCCTTTGTTAAGAGCGAAGATCAGCAACTCAAGTCAAAAAACATGGAATGGATTGATGGAAAGATTTTTATTGTGGAATTGCCGTCTGAACAACACGAAACGTATGTCCAAGAATTGTCTGCAGTTCTTCGTGCTGCCACCCACACTGAGACAACTTTTTTAAAGATTTCTGGTGCCGCGTATCAGACAAACGTCCGCCGCCTTGAGCCAGATTTGTGCCTTTTGCCGCGTCGAGTCCTTGGGCAACCTCCATACAACGCTCAATTGCCTCCTGGCGTCGATTGGGAGAATTTCCAAACTGTAAAATGGGAAGTGGGGTGGTCCCAGAATTGGGATGATATTGGTGGTCTTGATTGGAAAGCCAACCAGTGGGCGACTGTTGGTACTGTGGTTTACATCATCTGCATTAAACTGGAACGTCCCAATTTGGTAGATTCCTCCTACAAAGTGCACCACGTTGTTCATCATGGGGTCAATTTGCCTGCAATGGTCCCAATTCCGATTGCCGCCCCCAACACTGTCATACACTTGGATTCGCGCCTTGTCCTTCAACTACCTGCAATCAGTCCCTTGCCACCTAATTTTCCACCTCAATTGGACATTGATCTTTTTGCTCCACTTGCGGTTCTACTTGCTGATTTACCACCCGCTCCCGCCGCTATCTAGTTTGTTGCCTAGCTGAGAAAGTTATGTATGGTTAACATGGGAAATCCGACAATTCCATCATTGGCCAAGTGCAGCCAATAGAGTTATTTTCAGCACTTCGTCTGTCTGTGCACTCTGGAGCATGAAACATGGACCAATATGAAGCTGAGGCCGAGGTACATCAGTTCCACACACACTACAACGGCCTACTTCGTCCTTGTTCTCTCGAAAAACAGCTTTGAAAATTCCAATACAATAGGTCTGCGTGCCACCTCGTGTGCTATTGACGGTTCTCGCTCACCACACTCGGTGCAGAACTATCCAAACGAACTCGCACCAAGCCAAGCGAAACTCGCGTCAGATTTCCAAACGATAAGCGACAACCATGCCCACGTGTAGGAACTCGTGAAACAAGTGCGTCTTGTGCGCCCAACCACGTAAGGGTCGTCTCAATGGTATCTCGGTGGTCCTTCTAGGCGCTGGGTCTGCGCCATGCCCAAGAAATCGACGAGCTCACACGAGAGCATGATGTACGTCCACGCGCCGTCGACGACCTGTCCTGTCAACGTTCTTGGCACCATCCATAGAAGCAATTGAAAGCGCTACAAGCGAGCGAAAACGCGCTCCTCGCGACTGTGCGGACGTTGGAAGCCCATAGATTGACCCAATCGACCGCGTACCGTTGCATGTTGTCGTCGTGGATGCAAGAGAAAAATAAAATCTGTCTAGCCTGGCTGACTCGGCGACGCAGTGGCAAGTGGACCAGCGTGAGGTTTGTAGGCCTCTCGACAAGATTCGACACGACCGAGTGTTGTGCGTAGGCGGCGCAAAGCACCCGTCGGACCAAGCAACTGAAAGCCAGTGAAGCAGCCAACATGAAGCAGATTGCATCGTTGCAGGCCGAGCTGGACGCGTTGAAGGCCTCTCTGCAAGCGCAGATGGACCAAGCCAAGCAAACTGGGATCGCCGAAGCGACGACCAAGGTGCGTAGTCGTACCCCTGACGACCATGGATGCGATTCCATGTTGTAGATGCAAGCGGCGGTGCGCGCGGCGGTCGAAGAAAAGGATCACCTGGCCCAGTTGTATGCCCAGGAAATGAAGGCACGGCGGCATTTGCGCAACCCAGTGATGGAAATGGCCGGCAACATCCGTGTGTTTTGCCGCGTTCGACCCGTGTCGATTGTCGAACTCAAGAGCGCCGACTCTGCTCAAGTCGTCACGTTCCGCCCCAACGACCCGCACGTGTTGGACCTGACCGTCCATGCTACCCGAGGTAGTACGTTTTTAGGGACCGCACCCCGCCGTGCCGTCGGCAAGTCTGTTGCAGTCGCTTGGAGGTACTTGAGAGATGGGCAAACACGGATCCTCGGCCCTTTCCTTACGCGCTGAGCACTTGTGTCAGACACAAATCAAGGGGTCGAGATGGATTCAAAATGATGGACAAATAGAGCCAATTACTAGTATGTTGCTAAATTCTTGATATGTGCTTGACATTGGCATCGACCAATAATGCGATTCTTTATAGTTTCCCCATCCAATCAAATATTTCTCTCCTGTCGGTTGTCCAATCCCGTTGCAAGAATTTGTCGGATACATGTCGTATGCACTGACAAGATTACATTTTAATCAATTGAATTGAATTTTATTGCAAAAGCTTAAAAATATGCTTTGTATTTTACCCAACCCAGTTGCGTCATTACCTGGAGTTCTAAGGAATAATCACAGTCAAGATGAGCTATGCGCCACCACCGCCGCCAACGGCAGCAACGTCCAGTGGACATGGAACTGGAAAAACCAACGTGAGTGAGCTCCTGGCGCACAGCCAAGGCATCATGAGCTGGAGTGGATGCGGTCGCTACTTGGCAGTGGCAAAGGATACGCGATTGTGTGTCCGCGACGTGACGATGAACTTGAGCATCGTCCAGCTGTATACATGTGTGGATATGATATCCGCCATTCAATGGGCGCCGCATGACGAACACGATACGGAAAGCATGCGATTGATCTTTTGTGCCATGTTTAAGCGCGCAATTGTCCAAGTGTTTTCCATTCTTGACCCGACATGGCATTGTTCGTCCACTTTCATCACGCTTTCGTCTTCGACGTCGTATGACTCTTTCATTAGGCAAGATTGCCGAAGGGATCTGCGGTCTCGTGGCAGCGAAATGGACCCCCGATACAAGGCACATCATCACCGTAACATCCATATCTCCTCGCTGACTTTGTTCCAACGTACCCGCCTAGGTGTCAGACTTTCGCATTCACGCCACTGTGTGGTCCCTCGTCGACACTACCAAGTATGTGATCCGACACCCCAAGCTCGGCGCCGAAGGCATGACCTTTTCACCGGATGGAACGTACTTGGCAGTCGCTGAGCGTTCTGAGTGCAAGGTATCTCAAGCCTTCCTCTGTACCAAGGAACTGATGACTCGTGCTTAGGACGCAATTGGAATTTACAACGTCGAGTCGTGGGAGTTGGTGCGCCATTTTGATTGCGCCAGTTACGACATGGTTGAATTGTCATGGTCGATGGACGGCAGGTATGCCCATTGATGTTGTGCGCATGTATTAACTGATATTTTTCAAACATCTGGAGTATTACGAACAAAAGCCTCACATCGTAGTGTAGAGCGATTGTAGTGCGGGATACATTTCTAGAGTACCGCGTGTTGTTTTACTCGATTGATGGCGATTTGCTTCACCAGTTCGAGGTACTCGCATGTTCTTACATTTATCATGACTATTGTCAACTTTTCCCGACTTGCGATGTATTATGTTCGATTACTACCGGATTGAGGATGTCGTAGGCATATCAACATGCGTTAGGCATCAAGAGCATGGTGTGGTCGCCATCTGGCCAATTCCTCGCTGTGGGGTCATTCGACGAAAAAATTCGACTCCTCAGCCACATGCACTGGAAGTGCATTGCCGAATTGGACCATCCCACGTTTATTCCTTCCAGCACTTCTGGCAGCAATGCGGTACGATTGTATTGCTGGCTGAAGCGCGCGCTTTCGAATCTATCGAATATTTATTTTGATATTTCTAATTAGGATATTTACAAGCAAGACAAACGGTCCAATGACTGGGCACTAGAAGGGCCACCGCACACGGTGACATATGTGTCGCCTGATCCATTGTACTTGATTATCACACGAGTTGTGATTGTAACCAAGCTGATTTCACAGAAAAGAAGTACCAAAAGTTGGCGTGGGGGTTTTGGCATGGAGTCATGACGCTGGATACTTGGCGACCAAGAACGACGCGATGCCATACCACATTTGGATTTGGAAAACTGACACTATGGCGTTGCACACTTTGCTAGGTAATGGAAAACACTGCGATGTTGTGATGTTATGTTATAACTGATGCGGTCATTACCGCTTGAGGTTCAAGCCTGTGTACCCTTGTTTACATGGATGTTTCAACACCGAAATTCTTGTGCTTGTCCAATCCATCCTGGCGATGTATTTTCTGGTTTGAATTCTTCACCACGTGTGTATTCGATTGGTGTAGATTGCATTATCTATACTAGTATTGAGGATACTGCCATACACTCATTCGGTTGTTCATATTTTACCTGGAGGCTCCCCCCCCAACGTCGCTTAGGGAATAGTTGGCATTGTACTGGGCTTCAACAAAGAGTTTGTTTATATTGATATTGTCTTAACGATTGTTGCATCGATTAAGATTCCTTTGAAGAAGTCTAATGTTTTGACTGGGCCGTCGTGATTATGATTGTAGTAAGCAGTTCACCAATCAAAACATTTCGATGGAACCCAGTGAAGTCGTCTCTTGCGTTAGGATGCGGAAACTCGAGGGTAAAAACTTTGATTCACAAATCTTAAACGAACTCATTGAAAAAACTATTGTCCAGCTTTCATTTTGGACTCCAAATGGACTCACCTGGTACGCAGAAAAATCAACACGCTCGGCCGAAATATTCATGCTGCAATTGTTTGATCATAGGATGGACCTTCCGGACGGTATGTACTGCCGTGAAGTTATAATGCGCAAGGTATGTTTTCATTCTCAATGTCCTAGTCAAAATTCTGGGGCTGCGGTGGCACCCGAAGGGGGACTTCGTTGTCGTGTTGGGCAAAACCGATTTTTGTGTTGTTAACGTATGATAAACAACTTGTCTTGAGGGGTCACCACCACGTCCTCCGAAGGGTTCAAAAACACAAAGTACAACCCTCCACCTCGTGATCGATACAATCCTATCACCAACGCGTCCTAAGTGTGGCGTGAATATCAGAAACTTTGCAACATAGTGTACCTGGTGCATTAACATGTTCTGAACCAATTGACCGTACGCGGTTCCCCATGATTCCCTTGGCACTGGAATCTGATCGATCACTCTTGTGTTCGACGTCGATTCAAACGCTGGCTCCCCCAAAATCAGCAAATGAAATAAATCGACCATCGTCCCGTATGAATTGCAGCTTCCCAACAATGCGTCCAAGAAATTGGCGACGCACACTTTGCCTATTCAAAAGAGGAAAAAATTTTGTTGATCGTATTGTGAACCACTTTACCAGCGGCGTAAAGCGGGTGGCAAATGTTATCTAATGGATCATCTGCTCTTGATAACACCTGTTTGGTCATGGCTTTGACGTGTACAGCCATCTCAGCGTCTTGGGCGGATTTATTGTGATCGTCCTTGAGAAATCTGAGACTACTCGGTCGACTCTACAATTCACTCCCCAATCAATACTCTTGACTTCGTTTGAATCCCCGTACTAGTTCGATTATGACGGTTGGGAGCGGGGCATCCATTGGACAGTTGCTTTCACAAGCTTCTGTAATGAATCGATGCAGCGTAATGGCGTCCGTATCGATCAAATTTTGATCGATAAAGTCGGAGGGAAGGCTTCTTTGGTCGATTTCGTTATCACCTTGGATGCAAGCGCTGATGATCACAATGCTCTTGGAATTGAAGACACACGCCTCCCGCAGCACCGATTCGTGCAGAGGAGAGCCATTGACGTAGTAAACTTGATGAAACATTGAGATGCTGGCGTATTGTTTTTCTGTCATGGGGACCTGTGATATGACGACGATTGGCACAACAGGGACAGTCTCCTTGCCAAGTTCGTCGACTTCAGTGACGCTGTTCGTGGAGTGATTGGTCCGATGAAAATTCGGTCGCAATGGTGCGACGAAATCATGCAGCATATTGGGCATCCCGCACAATATTATGTGGTTGGAAAGGTCTGGTGGCACGTGCAAATTTGCAAACGCCAAGTACGTCATCGTCGATTTGCGGGCGTTTTTTGGGGCTGATGCATCAGTTGCGCAGGGCGGCGCACAGGGAGTTGATTGTGGCAAAATACTACCTTCTGGTGACCGGATTCCTGCACTGGGCGATATAGGATCGAGGTTGATGTGAGGTCGTTGAATTTGCAATGGGGCAAGCTGTTTTGGCATGGCGTGGGTAGTGACACCGCTCATGTGAGATTCCGTGGCATGGTTGGTGTCGGATTGTGGGGTAGATGATACTGGGATTCCGATTGGTGGATCTGTCGCCGGCACGGATACAACAATTGCCAAATCTTGATGGTCCCCCGAGAGGCTGGGGTTGTACGCCGCAACGATTTCGTCATCATCATCATCGTCATCGTCGTCGACATTTCCGCCATCACCGTCAGGTGGATTGCACGGATGGACTTGGGAATTGACACTGCGGTCAGTGCGTTGGTTGCCACTTTCCCCTTTGATTGTCAAGGCTGATTTCAACGTTCGCATCGTATGACTTCGGGATAAACTCATCGACTTTCGCATATTCTCGCCCGTTGTTCGCAGGCGGGCACTAAGAGAGCCACCTAGCCAAGCGTCCGCGATGGCGACGAAGTCTGGAATCATGTGCTGGTACCTACAACGCACGTGAGACATGCAAAATGCATTGTCATGAAATACTTTAGCAATGTTGTCAGCGTCAAGCCTTCAAGCCACCTTGAACAATCGGGAGTTTTGGACAAGATGATAATCGTGTGGGACTTTTTCAGCCGCAGTTTCGACGGAAACAATCGAAATTCGTCCAAATTGTCAGTCACGCCAAGGAGAAGGATGTCGTATTCACAATACATGATGAACGTCAGCGTTGAGACGTTGATGAGGTCATGGAGGAAGGAGGGGATGCGAGCTTCGTAAATGTCGTGGGCACATCCGTGCAAAAACTCGGAAGTCCATAAAGTCCTAGATATTCATGGAGACTGATAAGGAATACCTCTTGACGAGAAAAGAGCATACGATTTTTTGTAGAATGGTCGAAATGTAAAGAGAATGTTGCACACGAGCGCGCACAGTCCCGGAATCACGCACGACTTTGCCAGCATCCCCATTTTGAGCTGGTCGACGCACACAATATTGCTTGCTCCAGATAGATGGACGTGTCGGATGTTGTCTGTCTTCAGTACTTGCACAAATAGAGGCACGCGCTTGGTGTGGTGGCGAAGGGATATAGTGAGTAAATTCGACGCTGTATCGCTTCGATCTCCATCCGCGGACAGTTTATTGAGCATCACAAAGCAGAGGCGGGCGTTGGCGGCTCCAGCGCGCTTAAGGTCCGAATCCAACATGGCGCTGCCTTGTAGGTACACAACTCGCTGTTCATACGCACTGTTGAGGAGAATACGCTTGAGGTTGTGGGAGGGTAGACCAGGGCAGAGAATCACAACTTTGTCTTTCCAGTTCATGTTGTTGGGATGTAGAAACTGGCGCAGAAAAAAATCCAAAGGACTGGAATTGACTTCGCCGCAGATGAGGATGTGCGGATTCTTCTCCTTCTTGGCCGTGAACGACTTGTCGTATTCAGTCTAGCACCATCTCACTCGAGGTTAAAACAATCGCACTCGCGTTGTACCTCGCGGCTGAGGATGTCGCTGTAGCGACTAATTTGCAACGGAAGGAGAATGCCCGTCGAAAAGATGAGGAAAATCACGCAGACTTTGCCATTGCGCGACTTGGGTGCAATGTCACCATAGCTACAGCAGACCACCGTCAGATTCTCCAACTGTCTCGAGCTGTGCTCACCCGAGCGTAGCAATGGTGATCACGACAAAATAACACGCGTTATAGATCTCGAGAGTCTGGCAGGTTTTGCCCTCAATGTCCCCAGGAGAACACGACTCGACTGCCTGGATGACCCCGGCCGAACAAATGATGATCGACATAACGGTCAAAAAGAGCACCCCGCCTTGTCGCCCTTTCGCGGACTTGGAAAATACGAGCAACCGATATGCTCGAAGGAATCGCAACGCACGGAGGGTCTTCATGGCACTGGCCTTCGACCTGAACTCTTCGTTTGCCTCGAATAGCACCTCCAGCCATTGCGGCAAAATCGTGACAAAATCCACAAGCGCAAGTGGGCTCAAAAAGAACATTCGCCGGCTGTCTGCCGCGTACATGCGCATCACGTAATCTAGCGAGAAGAATACACCGATCACCCACTGCAACATGAGGAGCTCGGACGATTCCAAGTTGGGACTGAACTCCTGCCAGTTCTGTGTAAAGTACACAACCGTGACCAGCAACCTACATGCATCCGCATCACGTTGCATTCCACCGAATCAACATGTGCAAGTAGTGTGCCAGACTTACCCAAGCATCACTTGAAAGATGTCGATGCTGGATGCAAGCACCGAGTTGTCAATGTTTCGACCGATCCATTTGCGGAACGTTTCTCCTCGCATACGTGCCTTGACGAGTTTCTTTAAGTTCGTCTTCACGACAGCTCCCACATGACGGCACATGCCTCGCACGCGTGCCGGAACGGCCATCACTGCGATTCCGCCGTTCGCACACTGTTGAAACGACACCGATTCGGATAACCCACCGGATACAAGTGACCTTTCGGCATCAACAACAAATCTGTTCATGACAATTTCGTTTCCAAACCTCGAACATCTCATCCGTGGCCTTTGCGACGAAACGGCATCGCAGGGCGCGCTTAGAAGGTTCTCCTTCACTCTTTCATCCTGCCACCCTCCCGTGCTCCCCGCGCCGCGCTTCCATTAGTAGAAAAAATAGTGGAAGCGTGGCGATAAATAAATGAAAATCTTCTTTCTATGCATTCGGATATACCAATATATTATCCGAATATTTCAAATTTTGAATTCGTTCTCTACGTTGGCACAAGCTTGCTCGCGATGACGGGCGACAGACATGCCATGACAACGAGATTCGCTGCAAGAAGCCACCTCTCCAAGCAAAACGATGCGCTATCGGTGGTACAACCGTCGAAAGCAGTCCAGGGTGCATTACGTGTCAAGAGCATTGGTCCCGTATCATCGAATAATGTAAACTCCAATCGACCGCGTAAGACATTCCAGAAGAAGAGAGGACTCACGATACCTCGAAGTCCCAACTTCTCCAAACCTCGTCTTTCCACCGTACGAAAGCTATTTCAGCCTCCTGTGCCCAGTCCAAAACCGCTTCCTGCACCGTACAAGAAGCGAATGCCCACGAAACCTGTCAGTCCAAAGCTATCCAAACCACGGAATTCGGTGGTAAAACCAGCCCTTCCAATTCGAGAAAAGGTGCAGCCCAAGCGTTCCAATTCATATACACCCAAGAAACGACCATTGACGCAACCTTTGACTCCCAATTTTGCCAAACGACCCGCGAGACGAACGTCAGTGCGCGTGAGTGCAACGACCAAGGAACTTCTCGAAATCGAGGCCAAACGGCAAGAAGTCATGCTAGAGCGTCGCAAGAATCAGCAGTATCACCAAGCCACCCAAGGGTTCAGGAACGTTGGTGGCGGAAAGACTCAGTTTCGCATGGTACTTTACCTAATCTTGACGAAGTCCCAGCTTTATTGAATTTGTAGACGCTGCGGTCGGCGGGTGTGATTGGTGTACCAGCCATTCGCCGCCCGAAGTTGACAGAGTTCAAAGAGTTCAATTTTCTTGTCGACAAACGCGCACAGGAGAAGAAGGCAAAAGAAGAGCTCAAGCGAAAAGCACAGTTTTCTCCGCTCTCGACTTCTGGACGTCCCACACAACGCCGAAAGACGCAGTCTTAGTTTAAGAACTCTAGTTTCTTCTTCAAGTTTATGTATTTACCCGCAGGCGCGCGATTGTATCTGAAGCCCGCGTTGACCAAATCCCTTCATACCACCGACTCCCTCGGATGTTGGCTCAACTAGTATTACTAATCATGACTACATACTACTCGTGCATAGTAGTAATACTGAACTTGGCATGAATGCCGGTCAATCTATCGAAGAGTAGAAAGATCGCGTTTGACAGTGGACGGGTGCGACTTCACTTCGCATTGGATGGGCAGGCCAGCACTGAACAAGACGAAGCTAACCAAGTCATCTCGCAAGCACTCGATCCTCATGTACTCGCTTGGCTTTTGTATTCCCGTGCTCGTCGTTCTCGCGGCCCTCATGTCGAACGACGATTCCAACCAACTAGTGGTCGGTGCCAAGGTTGACGCGACGACGGCCACCGTGCGTTCAGCAGACGAACCAAGCCGTCTAAGTGAAGCGACCAAGCCGAAGTATTCAGAAGTCCAACGCCGCGCTGTCCAGCATCTGCAAAAGGCCCTAGGTCATTTCGAGGCGCAGAAATGGCCACTGGTGTTGGAAGAGTGTGAAAAAGCGATCCAAATTGACCCGGACATGGTGTTTGCTCATGCGCTCATGGGAAATGCCTTGAACGTGATGATGCAATGGCAGCAAGCCGTGAACAGCTGGCGCAAGGCCACAGAACTTAACCCTACGTCGTCTGAGTTCTACTATCACTTGGGCTTTGCCTTATCCCAGCATGCTCAGGACCAAGTGACCAACCAGCGCAAGTTTGCTCTGAGTAACGATGCGATTTCAAGCTTCGAACGATATTTAGTACTTGTGGAGAACGATCCAGAAGCCACTCAAGCCCAGATGTCTCTTGCGCACGCCAACCTCGGCACAATGTACAAGGTAAACAAGCTGCGTGAAAAGCAAGCGTTAGCTCTGGAGCACTTTGAAGCCGCTGCGACGCTTGACCCAACGAACGAGCTCGCTTATTTCAACATTGGTCTCATGTACGCTGAAAAGTATGAAAAAACTCCAGACGAGGCGTTCTTGGAGCGTGCCATTCAAAGTCTCGAGCGAGCAGTGGAATTGAACCCCAAGAACAAGCAGTACCGAGCAATTCGCGACGCATTAATTGGAAATGCCAGCCCCGCGGAGCTCATGGCTGTCATGCAGCAAGTGTAATTGATTCGGTCAACATGCAATCTTCCTTTAGTACATTGTGATTGTTTTGTTCAGAGCTGCAACATCAACTTAGTATCTATTACTAGTATTACTGGATCCAGGCAACATGACTTCCATCATTTTCAAAAACAAAAAAGGCGCGAAGAAGGATGAACTGGATGGCAAGTGCCAAGCAGCGTGTTATGCATAGCAAGGTGGGGAAACGGAAGCAAAGGAACTACCGTGGTGGAGGCATACCATGGGTTTGTGCCAACATCCGTGAGACTCTTCTTCCTGCAAGAGGCCTTAACTCCGCCAACGATGACGAGGCCTCAACACAAGTGTCGCTGGGAAAAATGCTTCCGCATCCAACTGCATCAGCGTATTTCAAAAAGTATGGGCACAATACTGTTGATCGTTGTGTTGAACCTCCACGAGAGCCACTTCACAAAAACAACGATCCTCCACGGTGCATCTTTTCACCTGATCAACTGAGGCTGTTCAAGTATTGTCTATATTATGACACATGTAATAGCTTGGCATAGTGATGGCAAAGAAGTGAATGAAGAAGGTGAAGGAAATTTCAAAATTTCAACAATTCACAGTGGACTGCAGGAAAACCCATGGAAAGAAGTATGGAATCCCGCGCCGATCCATGCCTTTCAACTCGAGGTGCCTCAAATTGCATTCGATGAATTGATTGTGACACTTAGAATAGTAGGAGTGATTGAACGCCAAATTAGCAGTTCGAAGGACGATGGCGACCGGAGCAATGCCAAGAAGGGCCCGTTCAATTTCTTTGACCACGTATACCCACAGCGAGCATTTGCCAGTCATGCAAAGGCACTTGTCTCGATTCCTCTGCATGATTTGCCATCTCCCGAAAAGAGCTCGGAAATGTCATATTCTTCTGATATATCTTCAGTTTCACCTCATTTGAGCTCCCAAGTGTGTCCATCGGAATTGAATAACTCCGATGTTTGCTCTGAGCCAAAGCCTGGAAATGTCGAAACATCTGCTGGTCAAGGAACATTATTCTTCTCACCTCACGGTACGTTTGTAACATAAATATATTCACCTGATATTCAGAAAAGGTCATCATCTATCTCCTGAATCGTCGGACGACAGCATCCAGAATGCGTCGCCACCACCACCACGAAAGGCGGCAAAAATGCCCTTGAAACGAGCACTCATACATTCAATTCAAGCCACTCCAAAGAAAATGAAGATCGAGCAATCTCCTTGTGACAGATCGTGTTCTCAATCACTCACAACAGCAAGATCTCTTGCGCACGGTAATTTATCTCGGGACATACATTTCCCTCTCATCCCTATTTTGGGATGGTTGAGTGAGATTGTATTATATTCGAATGGTGTTGTAGCCTCGAGAGTGTATGACGCGCACTCAAACATTTCTTCAAGCTCGAGCTCTCGTTGTCAAGTTTATTCAGGGACTAAAGCAAACATGAAGTATGCAAGTGCTCAAACGATTGCACGACAAGTTCCAGGATTTGTGCGAATGGACCAGTCAGGTCTATGTGCTGATTCGAGATCTCGCCATCAATGTCTGAGCTCTTCAAGCACGCACTGTGGGATAGATTATGTTCCCAGTTCAGGTGCGCTCATAAGCGTAATTGCATGTGAATAATCTCCGCAGAAACAAACAACGTTTGCCCGAAGCTACCTTCGCGATTTTCATGTGAATAACAACCTGTATCATGTCACGAGAAATCTAACGCTTCTTGAATTTTGTAGTTACATCTTCAGATGAAAGCCAAGCCAAGTCGTTTTTACACACTCGCGCACATCCTTTGCAAAATTCACCGAACTGGGGTATTTCGGTGCCTCGACGTTGGCCCGACAAGTCAAACGTTTTTCAAATGACGCGCCTATCGCAAAACTCAAGTATTCAAATTCCTTGAAATCTGACGATAACATCATGATAGTTGTTCCTTCTAATCCAAGTCCGGTCATGAAGCGCTCAGTCACTCATGCAAGGAAGACACCACAGGAATCTGAAAGTCGGAAAAACGACTTGCTACGACAGCAAGGGGATTCTTCTGCCAATTCAACTGTCGCTGGTTTAGATTGGTCGAAATCCGGAAACGGCAGCAAAAAAGTTCGATTGTCACCCAACTTGGCCCAAAGCACGACAAGCTGCATGAATTCCCCTTCAAACGATTGCATAGTTCAAGGCTCTATTGTGGGTCCTGTTCTCGATCTAGGCAGCCCACCTGTCGAATCAAGTATGAAGAAAGCACTAATTCACCGAAACCCAGTCGAAACTCTATGGTCAATGACATTCTCGTATCAGAGGATATTGTCGATCTTTCGCCTCGCCAGAGCGCTTACAAGGAACCAACTTCACCAATACATGAAGATTCCTTGCGTGCGTTGATGTCCATGGAATTTGTGCGTCCAGCTGGCGACGCTTGTAATGCCTCCTTTGTCGTCCTAAGCCATCCAACTAACGCGTTATTGCACGTAGCACCAAGTCAACTCTCCACTTCCTATGCGAAAGTTCATGCTAGCGCACATGAAGCTGTAAACCCACACCAATGTTTCCGTGATGACAAGAATACCTTGACACCGGGCAATGCGAAGACTTCGATCGAGGAACATGATTTGACGTTCCCAATCAGCCAAAGTCAAAAACTGACACAAGCACTTCTTTTCCGCCATGACGAATATCACAATTCCACCTCCGTTCACAAGCCTATGGCGAATTTTCAAGATGGTACGTCCAACTTGTAACACCAATGATTATCGTTGCGATCGATGCTGCTAAAATCAGTTCTAATTCAATAGATGATGCTGATGGGGACGATGAAGTTGATATCCTCAGTCATGCTAATGGACAATTTGCCAAGACCACCTCAAAAAATGAAGCCTTGGAGATACCTGACACCTCAATTCAAGTTACAAAGTCCGGTCATGCTCAAGATGTGTCGCACAGTCCTAAGAATGCTGCAGTACTGAAACGAAGCGTCGGATCAACTTTAGCTCTTTCACCTCGAAAGACTGGATCAACTCCTGCGACAAAAAGTGTGGAGCAGTCAGTTTCAGAAGTTGGTGAAAGGGATTTCAGCATTCAGGATACAGCAAATGGCTCCATGCCACGAAGACTTCGCCGTAAGTCACATGATTGTTCAAAAAAGTTGTCAGGATTCGCACGCTTTAGGCAAGTGGAATATTTAATTGAGAACACGTCACATCTTGGAAGTGGCATTGCTGAGTATTGCGTTCTTCTATTTGCTCTGCTAATCATCTGTTGTTGTAGCGCGAAACTGTGTTCCCTCTCCTGGAAACAACTCGAAGCACGATTATGAATCACTAGCAATCGTGCTGTGGACAATGGTGCAATGTCAGCAAATTGGTTGACGCCATGGGTAGCCGAGATGTTTCATTACCTGCATGAATCTGTATTTCCACTTGAAACTCTCCTTGATTGTTGCTTCAACCATTTGTTTAAATTCAGGGGAACTTATTTGGACCTCATGAAAAGTCGAACGCCCGTAAATATGTCCATCGTTATCAAGCAATTCGATATCTCCCCACAAAACACACTGATCGTTGGAAGGATGACGAAAAGTCTTTATTGAAATATCTGTTTCATTTTTGCGTGGGCGGTGCTGTATTTTGGGCCAACCCAATACAGCTGACGGCACGTCTTGCACTCGTAAAATTCGTCGACAGTATCGAGGACTTTTTGCGGAACGTCGTCGCGTCCGACAACCTGAGCCGTCTCGACGATGTGGAAGCCCTTTTGATTGCATTTGGCGCATCTAATATCGCCGTCATTTGTCAGCAATACAAGCGTTTCCACGCACCGTGACATGAACTCAGCTTCATGGTACTCAATGCCAAAGTAATTCTTGATCTAGATCACGATTGACGTGACAGCACATTTGCGATTGTCCATAGTACCTCTTGGAATTGCATCTCGACGTTGTCACTGGCGACGACATAACAAGCAAATGCTTCCCGATGCTGGGCTAGTTTCCGGTCCCGGGTCAAGATGATGCGGCTCTCGGACGAAGCCAGCGCCAACATGTCCTTTTTATTCGGATTGGCCACAATGTCCCAATGCAAAATGTCGACGCCCGTCATGCGCAACCACTTTGCCACGCGGCCAAGCATGGAATCGGCAAGAAATTTGGGCTCGAGCACTGCACCTGACGAGCTAACGTCTGGCGTGACGCTCAACGCTGCCACGTTGGCATGGGGCACCAGCAGTAAGAGCGTCGACAGAGTACACTTCAAAATACAATGCGGCCCTCCCCCAAACAATAACGGTATGGACGGCGGAACATCCCTACAACGTGTGAAAGCGGTGGCACAATGACAGCGCGAATGGAATTTCACGTACTTGTCAAGCCAAACGCATATGTCCGGCGCCTTGTGAGCGATGGGAGGCACGGTCCCCGGTGCGTACCCAAACACCTGAAGGCATTCCTGGGGGGTGGCAAATCGAACTTTTCGCCTGGTCACCCCCGCGAGTTTAGCCAGCTGTACGAGGTCCAACCGTGTTCCATGGCACAGAATCGCCACATGCGGCTTGGCTACAAATATGTCCTGAAAACCATCAACGCTTCATCTGGCAACGTACAATTCACCATTAAGCACAAGCTGTTGGCTACGATGACGTCGCGTGCCTGACGGGTTTTGTCGTTTGCCGGTAGAATTTCGACCTGCGATCCACTCGGGTGTGCTTGAAGAAACTCCATCACGAAGTTCCCCTGAGGAAAGCCACCATGAAGTCACCACACCAGCAAGATCAACGACCCACCGACAACGTGGGCGTCGATGTGATGCGTTGTACACGAAGTTGTCGATATTGCTGCGCCTTGGTGATAACAACGTCGCCGTGGATGTGACCCAGCGACGTCGACGACAAATGATGTGGCAGCAACGAGGGGTCCAACTCCAAGAGTTGCTTTGCCATTGGAATCAAGCATGCTGCGTCCAGTGCCGCGTATCTAACCATTTCTCGGGAATGCCATCTTGTATTGGTGCGGTTTGTACTGGAGTTGAGAAGAATGAAGTGGTCGGGCTTCCCAATTTGACAATTGCTGACGCTGCACAGAGGAAATTTTCGCTGGTCAACACCGCTGAAAATCATCCGAAATTCGTGTCACTACCTTGTCCAGGGGCCGCCCTTGCAAGAACATGGTGGCATCGGACAAGCTCTTTCCAGTGTACGTCGGGCAAACCTTGCGCAAGATCGTCTCAATCTGAAGGTGGCGTCAGTGCGCCAATTCAGAAGAGTTTGCATCGTACTTCAAACAGACCCATCACGGTTTGGAAGGGCTGGCACTTGTCGGGAAAGGACTGGTGGAGCACTGGACAAGAGAGTGCGTCATAGAAGTGTTTAGGCCGTGTCGATGGCATACCTTTCAGATCTGAGTGGAACCCAAATCCGATCTTCACAAACGACGGTAGGGTCAAGAGCCGCTGCAAGCTCACAAAGCATGCGTCCGATGTCTGTGGCATAAAAGTGAGGTAGCGCTACGTGCTCTGGCAAGCACGAAGCATGAAATACCTCCAAACGAATCAAGTCCACAATAAATACTCTAGACCCGACGGCGACTTGCAAAATACTTGCAACCGCCATCTCATCCTTTTCAAACACTGCTTTCCATTCGACATCGAGTCCAATCCAGCAAATCTGCTCCTGCGCAAGAACATCTCCAGTGTACGTCACGGCGGTGGACTCTCTCCACCATCAACGAATTTACCGTTCCAGTACGTCTCCATGTTGTGGACTGCCGTGCCCGAGTCGACCCACACGATCTCAAATCCATCCAGGCTCAAGTACGACGTGCCTTCAACCTACTCTCAAGCGACGTCGCCACCTTGCTTAATCGTGATCGGTGCACTGTACCGCCACATTGCTATCCAACCGTGGACCCAGCTCGGACAGGTCAAACCTACCACAATTCCATGACGACATGGCATGGTAGTAACTTCAAAACCTGTCTCGCAGGTCGTTGGCGAGGCCAATTTGCCCAGCCGCCACCATTTTGTGGTACAAGTCCATCTACCCACGCGGTCACGACCGCTCGTGCCTCGCATTATCAATGGATGTACTTGAAGCACAGAGTTGTTGCCGACAAAATTCGCGGCAATCGCCCACTTTTGCTGGGCACAGAGCTTATTCAAGGCTTCGAGGCGATAGACACTCTCTGGGGATTCGTGAGCATGGAGTTGCGGATAAAAGATCAGCATCGACGGCCTGTACCAAGATGGGGATATTCATCTTGCAAGTTGTACTGGTGGAGATATCGATGTGCCTGCGTCCATCTTGATGAGAACTCTGTCAAGTCTGTCAGTAGGTAGTACCCGCTTGAGCTCTTGGTGGTGTATCGAGAGTGCCACGAGGGCCTTGGTCAAGTCGCGATATGCGCCGGCGTCCAGCGCCGGTTGGATGATTTTCAAAAGCTGTTCTGCCATCGGCCAGCTCTTGGACGCCACAAACGTCTCAAGCATGTCCAAATGCGGCCATTCAATCCATGTAAAGTGCTCGATGCACTTGAGCACCGACACGAACGCGCTGTCCGCCAGGAGCTTCTTGGTGTACGACCTGACTATCTCTGTGCCAACATGGTCCATTCGAAACAGCGACAGCGTCTTGACGACCACCTTGGGGCTCTATTGCATCCCATCAAATGGAACGATTCAAAGAGGTGGACGTACCACAGCGCTGTGAGTCGTCAACGCGACCTCGACCACCTCTGCAACTTGACCTCGCAGATCGCCCGGCAGGACGGACGAGTGCCAGTCGTCTGGCAGCACTCCATCACGTTCAAGATCGCTCAGTGTCATCAAAACCAAGTACGCGAGCGGTGTCGTCGAGTCGGTCCATACACTCAGCAACGTCGCAACCAATGTCGCGGTGGCCTTGTGGACGTCCGGGGACGACTCCACTGAGCGATACAGATCTTGCTTGCATCTGGCAAAGTCGCTGCATTTCATGAAAGCGTCCCGCAGCGTAGATGTGTATGCTTCCACATCACCAGCGACATAAATCGCCTGGAACTTCGTCGGTGGTATTCCGTCCATGCCGTCGTCGGCCATCAGCTGAATGCGTTGATTTGACCTTCTTCACATGTATTGGCCAAATATAAACGTATTTTATCCAATCCTTTTTCGTGCACGCGCGAGAGTAACTGCCTTTGCCAGTTACACAGGTTACACCATTCGTTGCCGCGTCCGGTCCACCGCGTCGACCTCGTCGATCCTTCCACACGATGCCCATATGATTAAACCGACAGACATGTTCACCTTGGGAATCGGCGATTTCATGCCGTCACCGCCACCCCACCCTCGAACGATTCGGCGGAAGCGCCATCCGATCGGAGACTTGGTACGTCGTTGTGGCAGCGTCGACGTTCATTTCTTCGTGTAGAAGCCACTGACACTAGTACCGCTGGCCCCACGTGACGATTCCGTACCGAGGTATGTATTGCCATGTCTGTCACGTTTGCATATCCAACGAGTTTGTTCTTTGGCCAGTGACGACATGCCGTCGCCACATCGACCACTCGCGCCACCTTCGCCCATGCTAGCCGCGGGAGCTACTTTGGCCACGATTCCACCAGATGACGGCATTCGCCGCACGCAGCTCTTTCAGTGCGTTTCTCGGGATCTGCTTGGACGCAGTTGATGGACCTGGTCGCGTGTAGGGACCTATGCGCCATTGAATCCCATCTGACCGACGACGATGAAGCTGCAACGACTCAGATCCTCAAGTCGCTCCAGATGGCCGTCTCGCCGCATGCAGACTGCATTGTGCTGTACACAACGTCGGCGACGTCGCTCGACGTTGCAGGATCCACAGGCGGCCACCTCCTCGTCGGCCAGTCCTTCGGCATCACTACCTGCATTGCGTCTAAAGTTCTCTCGACTCGAAAGCCCCTGTGCATTGCCAACCTGCAGTCGCACGCGAGCTACTATCATGCGATGGACATCGATGGGCTCTTGGGCACGCGGACGATCGGATACATCGCATATCCGATCATCCTGCACGGCCAGATCCAAGGCATCCTGGAGCTCCGTTCGTGCCACACATCCGCTATCGACATCGATCTCTTCCTCATCTCAACTGTCGTACCATCGATTCAAACGATGTGGGCAGCAAAGAAGGCGCCGCTAAATCACACGTTGCTGCATCGTGTGGCGTCGGCACTGTCGACAACTTCATCGTGTCTAGCCGACGCACATTCGCTGCGACGAAATCATGACTCGTCGGCCAGCCTCTTCGCCCAAAACGCCCATGCTGACCTTCAACGCGCCCTCATGGCTATCCAAACCATCACACAAGCCAACGCAGTGTATGTGTTTGAACTGGGCGAAGGTAGTCGCATGGTCACCACGATAGCGTCCACGAAGCCCTTCACTCGTACGTTGACCACACCTGCCGCTTCCAGCATCCTCGGCCACTTCATTTGTTGCATCGTGTGCCCCTTCACGAAATCCCCTTGGTGTGCTAGGCACTGCATCATCGAGCTCTGGCAAGCAAATGGCCCACGTCGACTTTTCGGTCGTGGCGGCTTCACTATTCCAGCACACGGCGCGGCCGCGTCGCGTGGCGCCTTTGGACGTCGTCTGGTTCCTCACGAGTGATTCATCGATCCATTGCGCCATGGCAGTCGCGCTCGATTCGGCGCACTGCGTCATGTGCACTGCAGCATCCATGGACGCCATGGAGCCGGAAGACAGCGACGTGTGGCTATTTGTCAAGCCCGTCGCGGCCCAGGGATGGGTGCTGGACCACGTCAAATGTCGAGAAGAGAACCAAGCTGGTCTATTAAATCGCCTCACCGCCCTCTTGCAGTGCAACAACATGATTTGGCAAGCACATGACGGCGGGACAAAGCTCGGTCTTCTGTGCACCGCTGGCGCCAACTTCTTTGGCACGTCCTTGTTTTCTTTCTACGTGTGCGACACTATTCACAACGAGCTGTGGGCTTTTACCGAGCACGGGGTATGTGACGCAGTGCCACTATTGATCGGCGCCAGCACCGTCGTTGGGGAATGCGTACAGGTAGGTGGGGATCCATCGATGCATCAGGCGACATGCGCTTATCTGAACGATGCTTCTTGGGGAAAATGTGGTATCACATGAGTCCGTGATGCGAATTGGATCGAGTGGCGGCACGATCGAGAGGTTGACTCGACTTGCTTCGATAGGCAAATGAAGTGCGGGTGCTGAACGCAGTCACGTTGAACGCGAACCAGGCCGTGGTTGGAGCAGACGATGGCGACGCGTCGCACTCGTGCGTGGTGCTTCCGATTGTAGACTCGAATGGCCACGTCATAGCTGTGCGACAACCACATGTTCTTGTCGACTCGATCCGATGACTGCGCTTACATGGCCTGACCAGGTGAGTCAAGCGCTGTTTCCGATCGGCAGTGGCGGCAACCTCGACCACTTGAGCCAATTCAAGAGCGGCACGACGGCCGTGTTTGCGACAACGGTGGCCACGATTCTCATGAAGAGCCCCGCGCTGCTCACGTACACCAAATTTCAACTTGATCGGAAGCGAAGCCGTCCCACGCAGGTTCGTTCGCGTTGTGCATTGTTCGGGGTTTGATCTGCCACGACGCATGACATAACACTGAATCGCACTGGTTCGACTTTTACACGTAGAGGGCACGAAATGATTCGGCCGCCTCCTTCTTGTACGCCAGCGGGGCTCTCCGCGCCACACCGTCGCAGCGTGTCCTCCAGCCATTCCACACGGACGCCTCGGTCACGATGTCCGAGGCGATCGGTCGCCTCACGCACCGCATGCCATGCCACCAAAACCCTCCAGCCGCGTCGTCGCCTCGACGGCGGCAAGTCGTCCCCGTCGTAGCATCGATTGCCACGACCGAATTCAACGTGTTTGCGTATTCGTTTGCGCAGCTCCATGTATGCTTGTCCAGATGGTACGCGGTGTCGCTCCAAAGTCGTGTAGGGCATCCTGGCCGACATGTTTCACAGCATGAACCTTCTCACGGCGTTTGACATTGCGCCAACGACATTTGCTGCGTTCGTGGCCGCCGTTGAGCACCACCACCGGGACGTCCGGTACCACAACTTTTACCACGCCTTCTCCGTCACCCAAATGGCGTACACGCTGCTGGCACCAAATCCAGTCGCGAGTGTTGAAGACTTGGACTTGATCGCGGCGTTGGTGGCGTGTCTGGGCCACGACTTGGACCATCCTGGTCACAGCAACGATTTTGAAGTGGCCACAGCGTCCGACCTGGCGCTGCGGTACAACGATGTGTCTGTACGTGCTGCGCGTCGTCCGCTTGTCCACGACGATCGATGGTTTGTTGGCAGGTGCTGGAGAATCACTCGATTGCTGTGCTCTTTTCCATCTTGCGAGGTAAACCGTGCCCGACGGGATGGCTAAAGTGATGTTGTTGAGCCCTGCGACGATAGATCCTGTCACAAACATTTTTGCGACGCTGACCAAAGCGCAGTACGCCGCCGCGCGAAGCACGATCGTGCAGTGCATCATACACACAGGTCGGCACGCTCGCCGCCATGGGCTCTTGGGTTTTCACTTTCTCGTCAGACATGCAATATCACGCCGACTTGGTCGCCCACTTGGCATACCATGTCGACGTGTCCGAGCTTGAGTTTCAAAAGCAAACGTTTCTGAATCTTGTCGTGCATGCGAGTGATGTCGGCGCGCTTGGCCATCCCCACGACGCGGTCGTGCAATGGTATGGCGCGCGGAAGGTTCCACAACGCTCCAGTGTTTGGGTTGACGCTGGACGGTGTGTAGGGTCGATCGTATCCTGGACGAATTTCAATCCCAAGCGTCCAAGTCGGTGGCCCTGGACATTCCCCTCGCACCGCATTTGCTTGGACTCGACGACAAGGTGACGAATCGTTCGAGCCCTGTGGTCGTGTCTCATCGGCGGTCGGTAGCGCACACAATCCATGGTCCAGCTCAACTTTCTCAACTACATTGTGCTGCCGTTGTGGGCGATTACGGCGCACTTGCTTCCCCACGCAAAGCCCATACTTGATCGCATGTACAGCCACCGCGAGTACTTTAGTCAGCTTCTACACGACGAGTAACCTGTCGACGAATCGAGCCCATCGACCAAATGGGAAAATTAGCATGTCAGCTTGCCACGGCGACCCGGCCGGGTAGACCTCTTGTTTCGCACATCAATTCACTACACGGAAGACTACGCTCTCGTGGGCGACGTCGGCACCGGCGTGCCTTGTGACAAGGAGGCGACAGTCCTGTACAGTTTGCCGTCGTCGCCTTTTTCGATGCCAATTCGCATGGGCAAGAGTGGACGATGCTGGCATGCTTAGCGTGCCCGTCGTAGTTAGCTCGCTGTGTAGATCCAAGTTTCGTTGGACATCCAACAGAGGTTGCCGCAAGTACTGTCGTCCTCTGTGAGTTCCGTGGCATCGCTCGATGATCCACCAGTGGTCTCCAGCCAACGTCGAAAAGCTGTGTGCAGTTGGGCCGTCAGCTAGCAGTCACATAGCACCCAAGAGTCTGGAACGTGGTGCACCGCAGAAAAAGCTTGCCAAATCACCTAAAGTGCTAGCGTCGCTCCATATTATTGTATGGTCATGACGGAGGAGGGCCAGCCTTGGAACGATCTCAAGTCGAGCTGTCGCGTGGCTCAACGTGCAGCCATACGCCATGCTCTGGCTTGGTGACAATCCCCGCCACGACCGGTCGCACGGACGGAGCGTCCGCTGGGACGGACAGTTTGCATCGACGAAGAATCACAACGAGCGCAATGACAGCTTCCATCATGGCGAACCGAAAGCCGACGCAGCTGCGCGGGCCGCCCGAGAACGCCATCATGCGGAACGCTTTGTCCTTGGCATGGATCTGGACATGGTCGTCCTCGCCGTCTCCGAGGTGCCGTTCAGGTCGAAAGGCATCTGCATCGGGGCCCCAATTCGCCTCGAACCGATGGATCCAATAAATTGGCAAGAGCACGTTGGTGTCTACGTTCATTGCCGTCGTTGGGAGAGCGAGTCAAACCACCAGTGTGGTGTGTACCTTTGGGGACGTGATGGCCACCGACGTCCAGGTCGGTTTCGAGCGTCCGCATCGTGACATGGACGGGCGGGAACAAGCGCAGTGACTCTGTGATCACAGCGGCGCAATACGTGAGCTTGCTGATCGAGTCGTACGTAGGCATGTCCGTTGGTCCAAGTACTTGGTGGATTTCTAGGATCGCGTTTTCTTGGACGCGTGGATTTGCCGCCACAAGATGCAAAGCGTAGGCGAGCGCGGTACTCGTGGTGTCGTAGCCTCCAAACAAAAACGTGAGCAGGTTGTCGGCGAAACTCTGGCGGGTCACTCCCGACGCTTCTTCTTTCGCTGCATCCACCAAATACTGAAGCAGATCTTGGTGGACTGGCATGGTGCCATCCGCGTTGTGGACCGGGCGCAACCGAGATGCCACGACTTGGTCAATCGTGGCGCGCAGAATTGCCGACTGGCGGTGGTACATTTTGTTGGCGGCGGTTGGAATCCAGTAAAACGAGCTCGCTGGGCTCAGCGGATCTTGGACGCGTCGTCGACTCAAGTCGTTGAGGAGAAACTTGAACGCGTCGGCAACGGGGCACTCTGCCTTTTGAATCGCCCCAAACGACTTTCCAAACGACGTTGCGCCTGGAACAGCCCACGTGAGTTACCGAACGTCCTTGTTACATGGCCGGGATTCACGCGAGTTGGATGGGGCAGCGACGTACCGATGATGTCGAGAGTGAGATGCTTGAGGAGAGGTACCACGTCGACACTCGGTCCTTTCGTTGCCAGCAATACGGTGGCAAACTCGTTCGAGAGCGAGCCCATGACAGGGGCCATGCTAACCAAGTTCTGCCACCCGAGCGCTTTTGCGACCAGATTGCGATGGAGTTTCCATTCGTTGCCCATCACTTGAATCAGCGCCTTTTCGCCTAAGCACGACGCACGATATGCACGGATGTTGTGGCCAGGGATAATCCATCGAGCGTCGTACCAACGACGGCCTCCACAAATGTGTCGAAGAAGCGCTCGCGGCGGCGAAAGCTCGACGCGTTCACGACGGTGCGGACGTGTTCGGCCTTCAACACCGAGATGAACCGCGACCCCATCACGTAAAACTGGCACATGCCGTCTTGGTCTGCTTCGTCGAACGTGATGCGTCCGAGGCCCTCGACCGACCCAAAAAAGTCCACTACACCGACCACCACGCGGTGCAAGTGCACGGGCATCGTCAGCGACGGGATAAATGGCTTCACTTGGACCGATCGGACGAGGAAGACCACCACGGCGGCGACCCCCACCACGGCCGCGATGGCCGCGACACCGTGGTAGCAACTATTTGAACTATTTGACATGGCCAGTTCGATTGTGAGTCTCGACGTGGGTGTCGACCAACTCGACAGAAGCTATGGATCTGCTGCAGATGCGCACCGTACTCCGCCGAGTTGGTCGCTGCTGCAGATGCGCACCGTACGCTACACGGGCGTTGGTGTTGTCGGAGAGTACTATCTGGCGTCGCTTCCAGCACGCACGTCCCCGACAAGTCAGCGCGCTTGAGTGACCTGCGTGGTTGCGTTCCTGTCATGCGGCGGGACCAACTCGCACAAACCCAGTGGCTCCTCCTACGAATGGATAACGGTGCACCGACCAGACCCTTTGGCAACGACGGGCGTTCGCTGGCGGGTGCGTTTTGTTTGGAAGGGGAATGTGGTTTGGGTGAGATCCGCACTCATGGTACGTCGGAAGCGCCACTGCGCGACTACCGAGGGATGCGGATTCTCGGCACCGCCGGTCGTGTGCGGTACGCTAGGCAATCGTACGTACAACAACTTCAAAGGAGTGAGTCTAGGATGATTCTATTTCAAGTACTACTCGGTGGCGAGAGAGGTCGCATGTCACCGCTTTCGGTGCACCTGTGGGGCTGTGGCATATCGTCGGTGCGTCTGTTGTGTCAGTGCTTCATAAAGGAGCACAGCAACAAAGAATTGCTGTCGCTTTGGTGTTCTCCACCTTGCCGTCGAGTCCAACACGAGCGGCCATATAGCCCATTCAAAGGCCGCGTTACCAAAGACGAACGTTGACATGCGCCGCAGTTTGGCCATCACCCGCGGCAACGGACATTTCACAAACTGGTTGCGCCTGTTGGCTAGGTCTTTACAACGTGCTCGCTGTAGGTTCTAGTCGAGTTGGCAAGAAACACGTCCAAATTTCTGGACGCCACGGTAGTCACGGGTGCCGCGCACTTGGGTGTGGCGCTGGCGCTGTCTTCCAACGTACCATGAGTGTGGATCTCACCCAAGCCACATCCCCCTGCGAAAACGCGCTCGCCAGCGAACGCCCGTCGTCGCCAAAGGGTCTAGTCGGTGCAGCGTTATCCATTCGTGGGAGGAACCACTGGGTTTGTGCGAGTTGGTCCCGCCGCATGACAGGAACGCAACCACAAGGCTCTGCACAACTTGAACGCAAATGGAACGAGGGCGCCAGAAAACTGGTCACTCACGCGCGCTGTCTTGTCGGGGACGTACCGCTTCATCTCGGGGACGGAGGCGAGTAGAAGCCGATTGAATGAGTCATTGGCCCATCTCCTGTCGTCCGACTTGGGCTACAACGTCGGCCTCGTCCAGTTCGCGTCAACGATCCCGCCGATCACGCTGCAGCCATGTCCGCCAAGGGGACTGGCAAAGCCCGACTGCTCTCGGGTGGGGGCGTACCCCGGCAACCTCTCGTCCGTGTTGAAACATCTCGGCGATGGATCCAATTGAGTACCAAGAGCCGCTGCACCAACACCCTGCCTTTGCCACGTTCAGTCAGAACACCCTGTTCTGTCGAGAACATCCCCACTGCCCTGTCCATCAGGTCGCAGGATGGTCCTGCAACAGTAGGAGGTTTTTTGTGCCTTTTAGAGGCTTTTTCCTCATGTCGTAGTCAGTTGCAGCGAAGGCCACGTCACATCATTAGGATGTCGTGACCTCATTGG